AGGTTGTAAGGCAGGCAGTCATCAAACATGCAGCGCAGGATTAGATCTACTGGCAGCTGATTGGAAATCTGATTGATGGCCAGATACTGCCGGTCCAGGCACATTTTAGCGAAAAGATTGAGTTGACACCTGAGAATGGATAGACATTCATATGTATTCCAATTTAAAATGAAACAAAGATCCTGCTTTGACAATTATAATATAAAATCTAAAATAAAAGAAAATAAACTATCTTCCAAAGATGTCATTGAACTATCACCTGTAGTAGGTGATGATGTCAATGTCCAGTTTTTGTCCATTCTTGGTATCCTGGGCAAGGTGGCGGATGGATTTCCCATGAGGCTCTTGGTCCTTATCATTCCAGTATAGCCACACCTCTTCATCATCACCATCCTCCTGGATTAAAGATGACTCCAGAGAGGTCTCTGTGTGTGGGATCAGTCTAAGGAAACACAAACCCAGTCATATATTTTAACATAAATGCAAAATGATCTTGTCACTAACAGAGTTTCATCCCATAATTCTGAGTCATTGTTATACAGCTAATCTCAGCAGAGAGCACAGAGCAGATCTCACTTGGTCTGGATGAGGATGTCTGCGTTGATGGGGTTCAGCATGAATTTGCAAATTAGCTCCTGAGTGATAGGAATGGCTGTTTTGTTGGAGACGCAAAGGTCAGACAAATAATCCAGAAACCTGGGGGAAAAGGCACAATAACATACACAATTAACTTTGAGACCACACTAACCAATGTGAAAACAGCACTTGTATCAAATGCAAGAATCAAATCTGAATGTACACTACTGTTCAAAAGTATCAGTAAGATTTGTCTCTTTTTTAAAAGAAATTAATACTTTTATTCAGCAAAAATGCATTAAATTGATCAAAAGAGACAGTCAAGACTTTTACATTGCTAAAAAAAGATTTCCGTTTCAAATAAGTGCGGTTTCTTTTAACTTTCTATTCATCACAGAATCCTGAGAAAAATGTATCACTGTTTCCAAAAAAATATTAAGCAGCCCAACTGTTTTCAACACTGATAGAAAAAAAAATCAACATATCAGAATGATTTCTGAAGGATCATGTGGCACTGAAGTTTGAAGTAACAGCTGCTGAAAATACAGCTCGGCCATTACAGGAATGAATTAGATTTTTAAATATAAAAACCAAAATGCTATTTTAAATTGCAATATTTCATAATCTAACTCATTTGGAATTAAAATGATTCTAAAAGGACAAATAAGAATCTTAAAGATACAATCTTACTTTGAAAAAATATATATATATATTTTTTTTATCCAGCAGAATATTACAGTACGTATCTTAAAGAATTCTTCAAGATCAAGATCTCTTATTTGATCCAATACACTGGTTCCAAATTACAGAAAATCTATTAGTTTTCCTACCTGGGCTCTCGGTTCCTGCGCAGAAGTTTGACAAAGGTCTCAATCTCACGTGCAGTGATATGTTTTTCTAACAACTTGCGGTTGTTGTGCAGTAGAGCAGTGATTGTGTCTTCAGCCAGGATCTCATAGCCGATTTGAGCCTGCATGATGGAAAAATTCTTGGCTATGTACTCCTGTAAGAAAGAGGATACGTGTATTAGTCTAATGGACAACCCTAATAATTGGAACTGATAATTGAAGATATTCCTTGCCTGATTCTTGCGGTAATCTTGTTGGGAATGGCGCAGAATTCTGTAACACAATTGTAGCATGTACTTAAACGGAGCGTTGCGCTGCTCCCCCATATCCTCCAGTTTCGGCATGAGCGGGTCTTTAATCTCAGAAAATGGCGCTTTAAGAATTCCAAAGATCTGCAAACATAAAAATTACAGTCAGAAATCTGCCACTGAATCTACGATTCTTAAAAGAATCAACTTGAGATGACTGTTTGAGCAAACCTGTGCCAGGATGTTTTGCTCTCTCATGAGTTTCTGCCTCTCTCTGCTGGGGTTCGAAATGACCACAGACAACACGTCCTGTCCGTTGTTTGGCACGTCGCACACAAAGAAGATCAGGTCCTCCAAAAGCTTAATAGTAAACCTGAACATAAAAACATAAGATTAAGTACATTTTTGTGACTTCTGTGTGATCTGAGCTTCATACATTTCTATGCAATTAACAATGCTAGTGTGCAAAAAACTATTGTCTATTGTTACCACACCTTAACAACTTCAAAGGTCTTCAGTAACATATACCTGCGTTCATTTGCTGCTGCAAAATTGCTGATGCCCAATATATGCACATACATCTCCAGGACCTTGTTGGCATCGTTGGCAAAGTCCAAATCTCGGACCTCTGATAGGGGGACAGAATTAATGGAAAATGCCTCCTTGTCCTCCTTCATTTGACAGGTGCCGATCTATTCGAATAAACAGAGACATTACATGAGCTTTCGTTGACAAGACTAGTTTTTCTTCACATAAAAATGGAAGGAAATAAATAACCTTGAGCATAACGGGACGTTCCTCCTCAACATCAATGGGAATGTTAGTACTGGTCACCCAAGTGTTTGTGCACAAGTGCCTGAGTCTGACATAAGAATTCCTAAAAAAGGAAAGTACATTCTTTAAATGAATCGAACCCATGACCTTGCGGTTCATAGCAACATACTAATTTGTCAGCAACAGGAAATACCCAAAAGTACATGTGGTATAGTGTGGACTCCTATCCCATCGACAGCACGTAATGGGGACTTGAATAAAAACTAATCTGAACAAATGGTTTCATAAGTAGATTTTAAAATCTAAATGGTTGCTCTAAAAGGCTTTGTGAGCACTTGAATTCATTGGAAGGACTTGTTCTACAATCATTACTCCCTTTCAAACCCTTACTGCTGCTTTTCACCTACATCTCTTAGCTTGCACTTCTAGCCAATGTTGGTGCTTATATGAATTGCCTCTTTAGGGTAGATTGCTTGTACCATTTCTCATTTTGGATAAAAGGGATTTTGCTAAACATCTAAATGTAAGTGTTTACATTCTAATTTCATGGTTTCCATGATTAAAAGTCATTTTAGTGTATAGGAACTAACCTGGGAACTAGGCAGTCTGCCCGCTGTAAGGTGGTGGCATCCAGTTCAAAAAGAGAGGCGATGTCATTGCCATGGGGCACTGACAAAAGGGTGTATGGGATCTTGTAAGCCTGCCACTTCTTTTTAGAGTACAAAGTGCCTGTGTTGGTCTGAGGTTTGCATAGAGAGACAGGCGAAGGTCACATTGGCGTATAACAACCCACATATGACATTGCAAGTACCACGGAGTATGCATGTACTGTTCCATTATTACTGGTTTTAAATATAATTTGCACTTATGGGTTACTGCATGTAATTGTTCTATTCTTTCATTATTTTTCCATGAAAATATTCATGGTGAGACCTCAAACCAGGGTTATTCCTGTTAACTAAAATTAAAGCCATAGTTTTTTTTTTACTTTAATCAAGATTAACTTAAAATGAAAATCTTAAATGTTTTATATTTTAGCCAGTTGCCAAGGAAACGTTTCTCATTTTTATTGATGTACTAAAATAACAAACAAAAATTAATAAAACCATATATAGACATTAAAAAAACTAAAACTAACAGAAATGACAAACACAATAAAATGACTAAATGGAATGAATTAAAATGAAAATGGAAAAAATAAAAACAAATTTAAACAACTACAATAGTATCTCAATAATACTAAAATAACAAAAACTGTCCTCACTGAATGATAAAAACTGGTTTTAAATATAATTTGCACTTATGGGTTACTGCATGTAATTGTTCTATTCTTTCATTATTTTTCCATGAAAATATTCATGGTGAGACCTCAAACCAGGGTTATTCCTGTTAACTAAAATTAAAGCCATAGTTTTTTTTTTTACTTTAATCAAGATTAACTTAAAATGAAAATCTTAAATGTTTTATATTTTAGCCAGTTGCCAAGGAAACGTTTCTCATTTTTATTGATGTACTAAAATAACAAACAAAAATTAATAAAACCATATATAGACATTAAAAAAACTAAAACTAACAGAAATGACAAACACAATAAAATGACTAAATGGAATGAATTAAAATGAAAATGGAAAAAATAAAAACAAATTTAAACAACTACAATAGTATCTCAATAATACTAAAATAACAAAAACTGTCCTCACTGAATGATAAAATAAAATAAAAAATAAATAAATAAAAATAAAGAAATGTATTTACAGTAATGCAGTTCCAATGGAAGTCTATTTAAAAGCAGAAATAGGCAACTCTTATTTTTGTTAAAGCTCTTTATTGGTGTTACAAGGTCATAACAGGATTCAAAGGTTGCATATGACCAGACAAGATCGCAAGCTATTTGACCAACCTAATCTCATGTTGAAACGTACAATATTTATGTCTTGTGACTCTACTAACATAAAAGAGTATGTTTTAACATTAATTCAGTTCCATTGGTAGTGCGCTACTGTAAAAACATTTTTGCTTGTTTTTAAAAAACTGAAAACTGTTTCGACAACATTGAACCTGCAATTCCTACAATGGCCATCTACAGTGAGAATATTATGCAGGACAGCATCTGTGGCACAGACTGTTTTCACCGGAGCTTTTTGATGGAGGGCTATTTGGAGAGCAGCATTATAAATTCTCCTCTGCTCTGACTCTCTGCAGCTCCTCTGACTCACTCCACTGAAGCAGACAGCACGTCTGCCTGACTCTCACGGGGCACCCCCAGATTCAGACATTATGTAAGGAGCCCCCGCTGCAAGCGTGCATGCGCGTGTGTTTGTCTGCGAGGCTGCTGAAGCAGAATGCTAATATAGTGGAAAGGTGCAGTGAGAGACACAGGCAGAAGAAAAAAATAATCTCCGGAGAGTAGGAGGACGGCAGTTGTCTGTTGCAGCGTGAAGGAGGGGAGAGAGAAATGGATTACGTAATAGTGAAGTTGTGCAGGAGAGTTGGGTTGGGCCGCAATGCTGTGTTGACGAGACAGAACAAGTTCTGTTTACTTCAGCAGAGCGAGTCAGACACAAAAATTCATATAAAGTTCACCACAATCAGCAAATGTGTTTAATACATTACAGTCTCACATCAATGTTTTATCGATCATCAGACATGCCTAGATAGAGTCTGCACACTTCAGTCACTGTGTGGTAACTGTGGGAAAAAATGTGCGGAATTCTGGTGAATGAGTAAAGGCAATTCTTTGGAACTCAGTGGATATTTCAGTGAAATTCTGCAAGCTTAGATTCCAGGCCTAGTTATGACTCTGATTGCATAGGCTGGCATCCAAGTGAGGTCTGACTTACCTCGTTTTTGGTGCTGATACTATCAGTATGATCTTTAAAATCAGGATTCATCTGAAACAGAAGCACAAGTGTTCATGAAAAGCCTTATGGAATACACACAGACACAAAGGGGGGTTCTTTCAGCAATTTTATCTCAGGCAATAACCCCCTCTGTCCGCACTGTGCACAATGGATGGCTGTGACTGATTCTACACTACTGTGACAATAACATTGAGAAGACTGCCACCTGCAGCCCATCTTCTGTTCTCCCAAAAATATAAAAAAATTATGATAAACCTCTCCAGAAGTACATTATATTGTTTTGAGGTAGATTATTAAAAAAAAAAAAAAAAGTCACCAATGCTGCATTTATTCGTTTAGGAATACAATAAAAACAGCAATATTGTGAAATATTATTACAAATTAAAATAACAATTTGCTAATATATCTTAAAATGAAATTATTTCTTTGATGGGAAAGCTGAATTTTCTTATTATTTTTATTAAACATTATAAAATATCACATCTTATTTTTTTCTTGTTATTCATTTCTTATTATTAACAATGCTAATATAACAGTTGTGCTACTTAATTCTGATGCATTTTTTAAGATTACAATTCTTTGTAACAATATAAAAGTCTTTACTGTCACTTTTGATCAATTTAATGTTTTTGCTGAATAAAAGTATTCTTTAAAAAAATTTATTGACCTTAAACTTTTGAACAGTAGTGTATGTCACGTTTAAGCATTAATTTTGTCTGAGATATTTCTCCATAAATTCCCTAGCAGAAATAAGAACAGAAACAAATGAGATTACTGTTGACATTCAGTAGAAGTACAGAGCTTTGGACTATTTTTTAAAGTCTGTGACACGTTTCTACATTTATTAGCCCCTTTCACACAGTAATGCTAGTAAATTGTCGTAAAATTTACCGGAACGACTTTACCAGTAAATACAAAAATGCGCTGTTCACACAGGCAATGACCTTCTGTCTTTTTACCGGTAAAGCACCATTCACACATCAGTTTCAAAATTCTGGTAAATTCTGTGACATCATTAACCGGGAAATGACCTCTAAACATCTCGTTCTGCGTTCACACACAGCATCATACCGGTAATTTACTGGTAATGTTACAACTTCTCATTCCGGTAAATGTACATTTATAACAGTATACTTTGTGTTTTACTACCTTGGCATTAAATTACAGAAAACGGGTTAACACTGTGTTTCTAAAACAACGGCTGAGGAAGCGACGGCAAAAAAAGACTTCTTTCTCTCTTCTGAGCAATGTAATCAATCTCTCAATATTTTTTTTCCTCTTTTGGAAAGTCATAGAAACGCTCTTTGGGGGGCAAATGGGAATGTAAAAATAATATTTGTTGTAGTTTCCGTTCACCACTATAGACGTTCAACCAACTATGATGACTTCCACTTCAGAGAACCCTGAGAAATGTGAAAAGGGTCCATAAAATTATTTGGAATATTCAAGTTCAGATAATTCGGTGTTGGGAGAGTTTGATGAGAAATGATTGAGTTGTTGATATTCTTCTTAAACTCCTTGCCGTCTACAAGAAACAATAGAGATCTCTGAAAGAGCTGCTAATACATTCTGACATTCTTCTGATATCAGCATTCAGATAATGTGTTATTGATTTCAGGGTCAGTTGAGTAAATGCAGCTAAATCACCCAAATGGTGCGCTAGTGAGTTTACTGCTCTGGGAAAAGCTTCATGTGTGCAGCATGCAAATAAATGTGAACCACAGGAATTCACACAAACCACACCATGTCAAACCATGTGCTAAACAGCTCTTTAACCATGACTGAATTATGCAAAGCAGGGAGAACGGAAAACCGGATGAGTTTCGGGTAAGGACTAAACAATGTAGAGATGGAATGTGCACCTCTGTCGCAAGGTAGTGGCCTGTGGCGAGGTGTTTGAAGCGAAACAGGCTGTTCCATTGGCCGGCTCCTCCTCTGCAGGGGTCAGAGTGTACAACCTGAAGCACACAGGACAGGATGAGAGACTCCAGATTAATTCTGTACTGCATGGTATTGTTCTAACTTCTGAGTAAGAACATACACTACCGTTCAAAAGTTTGGGGTACGATTAAGTAATTTTTTAAAGAAATGAATACTTGTACTTAGCCAGGACAAATTAAATTGATCAAAAGTGACAGTAAATACATTTATAATGTTACATAAGATTTTTTACTTCAAATAAAGGCTGGTCTTTTGAACTTCTCATTCATCAATGAATCCTAAAAAATTAACCAAAGTTTCCACAAAAATATTAAGCAGCACAAATGTTTTCAACATTGATAATAATAAGAAATGAAGACTGGAGTAAAGGCTGCTGAATATTCAGCTTTGTCATTACACAACAGTTCTTTTAAAATGTTATAATATTTCACAATATTACTGTTTTTACTGTATTTTTTAATTAAAAAAATTACAGCCTTGGTGAGAATAAAAGATTTTTCAAAAACATGATAAAAAGTCTTATTGACCCCAAACTTCTGAACAGTAGTGTGTATCCCATTTAAAAATCATAATATGTTATGATACATTTTACTTCATTACATATAGAGAACTTTAAGTTTGTGAATTCAGATCAGATAAAAATAAGAAACAAACGTTTACATCATCGTACAAAACTATACCTCCACTTCCCATAGAGCTTTTGAACTGGTGGCAGAGGTTGCTGACTGGCGGAGAGTGGTTCGTAAGAAGACATACTGCTGTTTCTTGTACTCATCACAAGTAAGAAACTTTTCCTGCTCGGCATGAAACAACCTCACCACATCCCCCTGAGTGAATCAAAGAGAGAGACCCAAATGATTAGAGAGATATTATAAACCACAATACAAAACAAACCCAAATCAATAGACCACTCCTAACATATCTAATAAACTACAACATAAGACTCACCCCTTTTAATATGTCATCTCTGTATTTACAGAATTTCATGAAAAGAGTGACCTTCCAATTGGTGTTGCAGTTCAAAGCGTTAACCTGGCAGACGGAAATACACATCTTTATTTCCATTACTTTTTCATGACCTTTCTTTTTATTTTCATTCTTTTGTGATTGATTTTGATTCCAATTTTTATTTTAACTGGCCTGATTGATTCACTGAATTTTTTTGTTCACAAATCAAACAGTTCTACAGCTTTGCTATAGAAACTTCCATGACTTGTTCAAGCTTTCGAACATTTTATCAATGTTCATGATTTTTCCAAGCCTGGAATCCAGAATTTCCCCTCACATTTCCAGGTTTTCCACCACCATGGGAACCCGGTAATTAATACCATGCATCAGAACCTGTGACTCATCATGTGATCTCATTAACAGTGCTGCTGAGAACACAGCTGGTGTCTGACCTCTCTGCAGCCACGGTTATCCAGGAGTTCGATGTTGCTGGCGTGGAGAGGCTGCCCCGCGTTTACAGGCATTAGAACCACTTTATCTCCAAGCACCACCTACAAACACACACAGACAGATACACACACACAACACTGCTTTCAACATCAGCTGTTTCTGTTGTTTCACCATTTCAACAACAAAAGAAACAGAATAAAAGAAAAATCGCATCCTATGACATGGGGTCATTAAAGAGCAGATAACTAATGAAAAATGAGAGCACATTATTCAACAGAACAGAGAACTTGTTTATACACACAGATATAATATCCATTGCATGCTGAAATAGGTAGTGTAAATGCACAGTTTGTGAAGAAAATGTGAGTGAAGTGTGTTAAGAATTCTATTCCTCTCTATACACAACATAACATCACAGACATCCAGTATCACTCAGAACTCAAGCCCCTGATGTCAACAGTGGATCTGAACCTGTTTGGATGCTATTTAATAATTCTATTCCGATTTGGAAACTATTTGCATACTAGATCTGAAAGTATTTGGATATATTTTAATAATTCAGGGTTGAAAGTAAAAATCATGACAAAAAAAATTAAGCAACAACATTGTGTGAACATGGCTGTTAGGGTTGCATGTTACATGCATGTTAGCATACTGCAAACTTCTCTGTGTACACACACACACACTGCATGCGCCAAACTATATATTAGATACCTTCACAATTCAGTTGCTGAGATGAAAACAAGAGGAGAGACCAGATGAGTTAACACAACAAAATGTTCATATAATGATGAGAGATGATTAGCTTTTTTAAAATGGGTAAACGACCCTACTGCATGTTTAAAAATAGAAAAACGTAATAAAAGTCAGAACCTAAACCCACTCCAGTCATTGTTTCTGAAGTGTTTGTTGTGTTAGTGGAGCGATGCCTACATTGTCTCCTTCACTGCGTAGCTTCCAGAAAGGCTGGATGCAGAACCAGGAGCCCTCATTTCCCGAAGGGTCCAGAGAAACACGCATTGCGTTCTTCTCCAGCAGGGCCGGAAGACGCTTATTCACTGTCAGGTACTTATTACTCTTAATATGGAGAAGCTGAAAATATAAGGAAAGTGTACTGTATTTAAAATACTGCACTACATACATTATCATTCAAAAGTTTGGGGTCTACAGTATTTTTTTTTTTGAGGGTCGCATTTAACTGATCAAAAGTGACAGTAAAGACATTTATAAAATTACAAAAAATATATGACAAATTTCAAATGCTGTTCTTTTGAAATTTCTATTCATTAAATAATCCTGAAAAAAATGTATCACTGTTTGTAAGTAAAATAAGATGCAATATGGACCAGTCATGATTCAAAAGTGAAAAGTCTGGCTCTGTGAGAATATAATATGTAATTATTATCAGATGCTAGTCTCACATAGCCAGACTTTAGATTTTCAAATCATGTCTTTGAAAGTAAAACACAAGGCCACACACAGGCACATGCATTTCAGTCAAGGCTGTAGCCTGGAAAGCAACTGCAAAACTCAAACGGAGAGGCCCTTTGGGTCAAATAAGTTTGGTAAAACATCTGAAACCATGGTTTTTGTGTAAGCTCATAGAAGCACTTAGATTAAAGTGACCAATCAAACAGGCACTTATTTCTATCAGTTCTGGAGCCGTATATCACAAACACTGTCAAATGCCTCTTTGGCCCTTGAGCGGTGCAGTGGCAGCCTTGGCAACAGTGTGAAAACAAAGTTCTCAATGTCCAACCAAAAGTGTTAAAAAAAAAAACATTTGTTGATAAGAAGAGGGAAGCTTGACTGTACCTGTATAACCCGACTATATTTAACAACCTCTCCCAGTAATTTCTTCTTCTCAGTATCGTTCTGTTTCTGCTCCATTTCCGCTGCATGCTGCAAAATGTAGTAGAAAGGACAGCAAACTATAATTAGCAACCCCAAAACGCCTAGTAATAGAATTCTATTGCATAATCAGTGATGTTAAAGAACTAAGATGCATACAGGTGCGTCTCAAATTAGAATGTCATGGAAAAGTTCATTTATTTCAGTAATTCAACTCAAATTGTGAAACTCGTGTATTAAATACATTCAATGCACAGACTGAAGTAGTTTAAGTCTTTGGTTCAAATTTCTTGGTAAACGGGTGCAGTGACTTTGGTTTTCAAAAAACACAATGGACCAACACCAGCAGATGACATTGCACCCCAAATCATCACAGACTGTGGAAACTTAACACTGGACTTCAAGCAACTTGGGCTATGAGCTTCTCCACCCTTCCTCCAGACTCTAGAACCTTGGTTTCCAAAATAAATAAATAACTTGCTCTCATCTGAAAAGAGGACTTTGGACCACTGGGCAACAGTCCAGTTCTTCTTCTCCTTAGCCCAGGTAAGACGCCTCTGACGTTGTCTGTGGTTCAGGAGTGGCTTAACAAGAGGAATACGACAACTGTAGCCAAATTCCTTGATATGTCTGTGTGTGGTGGCTCTTGATGCCTTGACCCCAGCCTCAGTCCATTCCTTGTGAAGTTCACTCAAATTCTTGAATCGATTTTGCTTGACAATCCTCATAAGGCTGCGGTTCTCTCGGTTGGTTGTGCATCTTTTTCTTCCACACTTTTTCCTTCCACTCAACTTTCTGTTAACATGCTTGGATACAGCACTCTGTGAACAGCCAGTTTCTTTGGCAATGAATGTTTGTGGCTCCTTGTGAAGGGTGTCAATGATTGTCTTGTGGACAACTGTCAGATCAGCAGTCTTCCCCATGCTTGTGTAGCCTAGTGAACCAAACTGAGAGGCCATTTTGAAGGCTCAGGAAACCTTTGCAGGTGTTTTGAGTTGATTAGCTGATTGGCATGTCACCATATTCTAATTTGTTGAGATAGTGAATTGGTGGGTTTTTGTTAAATGTGAGCCAAAATCATCACAATTAAAAGAACCAAAGACTTAAACTACTTCAGTCTGTGTGCATTGAATTTATTTAATACACGAGTTTCACAATTTGAGTTGAATTACTGAAATAAATGAACTTTTCCACGACATTCTAATTTATTGAGATGCACCTGTATATAGTAGTTATAACACCTGTCGGCAGTCAGTGTTATAAGGGCACCTGTAATTTCTTGAAGAGGTCTCCCTGTGTGTTGTTCCCATGTTTTCCCTGTTTTGCCTTCCAGAACTGTCTCTGTGCAGAGTACCTATTCATAGGACACACCTTGAAGAGACAATCTAAACAACAGAAAGAAAAACAATTCTATTAGTTGCTGAATTTTAGTTTCCCTTTTGAGGGAACTCAAATTGCGTCCTCTAGCGGTTGCTATGGGGAATGACTTCAGTGTGACCGGTGTCTGAAGCACATGTCTAAACACGACAATAACATTGGCCGGCGACAGCCTATGACGTCACTACCGGCGCGACAAGAGTATAAAAGGGCGCTGGGAGAATACATCATCCTCTTCTTTGGCTTCACTGCCGTTTGTTTATGTTAGCAGCTAAGCACGACTAGGAGTGCATGTTCTCTCGTCAGAGGCTTCGCTCTGATACCAGAGGTTTCACACGACCCATGTGTTGTGTGTGTGGGTGAGAAGCAAGCGTGATCGGCTCTTGAGAGAATTGAATGTGCTCATCGCACTCATTGCGCTTTCTTTGTGGATAGGTGTGAACTGAACATGTTTGACTCACAAGGAGGCAGATTGTGCTAATCGTGTTGCATTCACGGGACTACTGAAATGGGAGGCGAGTACTTCACCATTTACCCTAGACTGTAGACAGCATTTGCATGAGTGTGTTCACCTCTTGTGCGAGTTGAACAAGCTCATAACGACGCATTAGCAGCGGTTTCTGTTCTCGCATGATTTCCGAGGGAATCGAACACTTGAACGAAGCGTGTTTAGGAGCTGAATACATGCTGTACGTTGCGGTCATGGTGATAATTCTCTGCCTATCACCTGCGGTTCAAGACAATTAGTCGGACCATTCGCGGAGTTTATTGGCAGAGCATGGAAGGGACCTGACATTATAACTGCACCCCGGGAACCCATGCTGTGAGCCTTTACTTTCATTTCAAGGTTGTATGGCTCTCTGTGAGCCTCCTCTGTCTGAGAGTCGGGGTTGTAGTCTCCATGGGTTGGGACCTCCCCCCTGTCCTGGGGACCTCTTGTGTTGTATGGCCTTCTACAAGGCCTCCTCAATTAGGCTCCTCCTCTTTCTCAAGTGTAGGCTGCAAACCTCCTTGATGCTTGGCCCTGAGCTGAGCTAGTGCTCCTTACCCGCGAGTAGTGTAGTTGAGTACCCTGCTCTCTGGGGCTAGGAGTTTGAGTATACTCCTCGTGCTTCTTAGGGCCACCTGTGAGTACGTTACTGGCACAGAACCTGTACGTCTCTGGTACAGAGTGATATTGCGTACCCTGCTCCCTGATGACCTCGCTGGGTGTTTTGGCTTCGAGAAGCCACCCTGGCCAGGGTGCTTATGAGGTGAGCTAATTCGCCCTGAAGGGCTCCTTGAGATCTAAGCTCCCTGTGACCATTCTGCACATGCACTGAGCTTGAGTTCTCCTCTCATTGAGTTGCTGAGTAACTGCGCTCTTGGAATCCCGCTCTGCAGTCATGATAGGTTGCAAGGCCCACTATGGACCTCCCTGTTACATTGCCCTTATGGTTGAACTAGTGAATCTCTCCTCTCTTTGTGAGTGACTTGAGTACACCGTTTCCCCTGAGGTATGAGTGTGATGGCACTTCCTTCATTCTGAAGGCATATTTACATTTAGACATTTAGCAGACGCTTTTATCCAAAGCGACTTACAAATGAGGACAATGGAAGCAATCAATATCAACAAAAGAGCAATGATATGCAAGTGTTATAACGAGTCTCAGTTAGCTTAATGCAGTAGCAAGGTTTTTTTAATTAAATAATAAATAAAAAGAAAACAGAATAGAAAAAGAATAGAGCAAGTTAGTGTTAGAGGACTTTTTTATATTATTATTATATTTATATACTATTTATATATTATTATTATTTTATATTATTATTATTATTATTAGCATATTATTGAGTACTTGCTCTGAGGAGCCCTAATCATGTGCATGAATGGCTTTGGGTCCTGTCCTGTTTTCGTGGTTGAGCTGGCATTGCTCCCCTTGGTTATAATGATGGTACAAGAGTCTGTCGCTCCCACAAGCCTCTTCAGCAGGCTCCTTTCAAGCCTAGCTGCCCTGTCTGGCTGAGTTTGGCAGTGCTCCTCTCACTACGGGAGGGTTGCCTATGAGCCTGTTGCTCCCAGGTTGAGCATGTAAGTTCCCTGGTCAATTTGAAAATTGTGTAATCCACTCTCAGGGCTCTCAGGGCCTCAGGCAGACAGGTTGTTGGCTATCCTGTAGCCCCACTGGGAGAATTAGGGGTATATGTATGAAGTCCCCCTAGGTGACAGGCCAGGGTCTGGTGATATGGTGAAATATAGATGCCCAGCCATATCCCCTTAAAGGAATCACATTGTTATCTGATTCCAAGCCTTTGAGCTCTGCCCTGGGACTGGGCTTCCTTGTCAGCCCTTAACAGGCAAGTTATTTTGGGTATGTAGCTCAGGCCTTTGGCAGAAGGGGATAGTGTCACTGACAGCTGCTGATGCGTCCGAGGGGCAACTCCAATGGTTTCACTGCGGAGTTGGTGCTTAGTGCTCGCCTCCGAAAATATGGCATGCACTTCCCTCAGCATGGCAGTGTGGGTATTCCATACATAGAGGACATATTCCTAGAGGACGCAGTTCGAGTTCCCTCGAAAGGGAATGTCTCAGGTTATGTATGTAACCATGGTTCCCCCTGAGATGGGAACGAGACACTGCGTCCTCTTTTCTTGCCATGCCTCAGGACGCATGTTTCGTTATTGCAGATGAAGCAGCGGATGACATATTCTCCCGGCACCCTTTTATAATATGGTCGCGCCGGTAGTGACGTCATAGGCTGTCACCGGCCAATGTTATTTTCACGATTAGACGTGCTTCAGACAACGTTCATGCTGAAGGCATTCCCCATAGTGACCACTAGAGGACACAGTGTCTTGTTCCCTTCGCAGGGAACCATGATTACATGCGTAACCGGAGACGTTTTATATATTTTATTCAAATAAAAAATAAAAAAAATCTAATAAAAAACAAATAAAAAAAATCTAGAAATCTATAGTATATAGTACATAATATTATTTATGTGCGTCTCTCTCTCTCTATATATATACATATATATATATATATATATTATACACAGTTTTTAATTATAAATATTATACTAACTATATAAATATTATTAATATAATAATAAATATAATTTTTTTATATATATTTATAATAATATAAATAAGAGACATTTTAAGTTGGTTTCAGTGTCATTACTGAATCCAAGTGACTGTATCATTTTTTTTACAGGCTGTGTCTTTGAGTTAAATAAAAGGACAGGACTGACAAACACAATCTGTCATTTTACTCCAGCAAGTCAAAGTTTGTTTGCTAACCTTCAGGGAGCCACTAAAATGTGTCTACAACAGTGTAAAAGTTTGATTATTAAAGATTTAAGAACATTTTATACAGAATTTTATAAATAATTATTGACACTGAGATTACATGAATCTTGGCATAAAGGTGCGGACACATTTATCATCATTCAACAAATTTTTGCAGGCTAAATCCAGTCAAAGGAATCCAAGTGATCTGGAATTTCCCATGAGAATGAAAGATTTTCCCACAGATTTCAAAACAAGTTCAATTTGGCCACATGGATTTGATACGTTGACCAACAGAACGCTGCTTGGTTTGAGAGTGACTTTATACATTGCCAATCTATTGATAATAGACAATGGACCTTTTATCCTGCAAAATCTTGCTGAAATTTCGGTGAAATGTGCTTATTGTATTTTACCATTATTTTCATTTTCTGGTTAACTATTACTTCGCAAAAATCATCAAGTACATAAAAAGTGCAAGTTATCACATGGGCTTTTGTGTTCAAAAGCACAGGAAGCTTGTATTGACTTGTAGTGAACATCCCTTTAGAGCTAGCGTTTCAACAAAGCCCTTCAGCATAGTTATAGCTATTTCTGATTCTTGTACAGTCCTCCAAATTGCACTTGAGGAACAACACTGTTTACCCACCTCTGCTTACAATTCTAGTCATTAGGCAACAGCAGGCACCCTACTGAGATCTCACTATAAAGCTGAAGATATGGGGACAGCCTGCGTGCGTGGCCTTGGCAAGAGCAAAGATTCAGTGTGTAGGAGGCTGTTACTGCTCAAGGGCCGAATAATTAATCAGTGGCTGAGCAGGTGTAAAGAATCACACACACACAGAAAGCTACAGCTACATATTTATTTTGCCTGGTGTTGGGATTTCTTTTGCCTGCCACTTTTTATTGGTACTACAATGCTGGGGAAAAGTAGCGACGCTAACTTAACTACATTTTTCTTTAGCACGTAGCTCAAGTTTTTTCAAAACAACATAAGCTACTTGTTCCACCAACTAGTGTAGTAACTTGTAGCACAGCTATAGCTTGACTGTAGTTTAACTACTTTAAATTATGAGCAAGATGTAGCTTCATAAGCTAATTTCAAATTAGCTCCCATCACGATTATATCAATAACAACAATCCACTGGCTAATAATGGTGCTAATATGTTAGCATTGGGTCATGTAGTGTGATCAGTCTTGTCGGACTGACTCACCTCTGAATTTGTCTGGTGGGTTTGTAAGATCCCCAGCCTCAGGTTGCACCACACATCGGTCATCCACCAACCTGAAGGGGCAAAATATGACAACTTCTGTAAAATTATACACTGAAGGATGGGAAACAGAAAATGAAACATGTTTTAAAGACAATTTTCTTTCAATTAGACTTCGACTTTGTTCAGACAAGCAGCAATAAGCATCAGATTTTTAAATATATATTTATGGTTTGACCCTACAGTAGACAAGTGTTTCGGAAAATGTATGGAATTATAATAAGAAATATTCCGTAGGTGTCACGAATCCGGTCCGTGGTCTTCCGTTTGCTCACCACCAGAGGTCGCCTTCTGATTACATTGACTCTCACACCACACAAACTGTTGCACGTCACCCTGGACTACATTTCCCATGCTCCATTGTTCTGACTGGACTCACCTGCAGCCAATCACACACACACTATATAACAACCACTCAAATCCTTCTCTAATCGCAGAGTATTGTTTGCACTGATAATCATCAAGTGTTCTAAATTTTAAACAAATAAAGTGTGAGAGTATACAGACAATATCCATATTGTATGTAATTTCTTAAATTATAAGAAATTACATCTTTAAGCATGACTGTTTGGATTTACATGAGAGTTTTATATTAGAGTATTATATTGGAGTGTGTTAATTAAAAATTTTAATTTTAAAGTTGTTTCTGTTAACATTAGTTAATGAAATATGAACTAACATTAATGATCAACGTATGATTAATATTTAATATGAATATCTTTATTCCATATGAAAAACATGGTTCTGTAATTGTGTGTGTGTGTGTAATAAAGTTCAGCAATATTTTAGTTTTCATACAGTATCCATTTTCAAAACTATGGGTTGATTAATCGGTTATCGGTCAGTTATCGTATCTGTAAAATCCACTATCTGTCGACCTCTAACAAATACAAACATTTTTGCTCACTCTTGTCTTAAATAACTAACTATGAGATATTCACTGTTTGAATACAGTATACATTTATTGGAAATAGTCTCTTATGTTCTCTTAAGTCACTTATGTTCTCTGAGGCACCTTATTCAGCATGGCATGTTGAGAATTTAAACTTGAGAGTTTAAAAGACAGACAAAAAAGTCCTCTGATATCAATATAAAATAAAATAAAAAGTATTTCAAGACACAAAAAAGAGACTTAGTAGGCTCAGCATTGTATATCAAAGCAAACAGAGTTTCCTTTCATGAAGGACTCAATTGAAAATGCTTGTAATCCTAAATCAACAAACTATTCAATTCTTTGAATGCAGAGCATATTTGCCCACTCTATGGTCAATGCAAACCCACACAGTCAAATTTAATTACACACTATGCTCAGTTGCTGTGACCACAGGCTGTCTTAACAGAATAGGTTACAAAAAATAATGTTAAAACCTTTCATAACACAATTTTGTTTAGTTTAAAGGAATAGTTCACCCAAAAATGAAAATCTGCTCACCCTCTGGCCATCCAGATGTGTTTGTTTCTTCATCGGAACAGATTTGGAGACTAGCATTGTATTACTTGCTCACCAATGGATGCTCAGTGAACGGGTGCCGTCAGAATGAGAGTCCAAACAGCTGATAAAAAACATCACAATAATCCACAAGACACCAGTCCATCAATTAATGTCTTTTAAAGTAAAAAGCTGCATGTTTGTAATAAACAATAAATCCATCGTTTAGATGTTTCAACTTTAAACCACTGCTTCTGGTCAAAATATGTGTCCATAATCCACGGTAACGCTTCCTCCAGTGAAAAAGTCCATCCCCGTTGTTCTCTCACATCAAAATCCAGCAACATATTTGTTTAGAACAGTTTTCGCTTGTGCATTTGTGCCTGGTGCTTAATTCAGATAAGACCACTTTTTAACTGGAAAAAGCAGTATTATGGATAGAGGACATGCAGCTTTTTGCTTCACAAAATGTCAATCAATGGACTGGAGTCATGTGATTCATTTGTAATTTATCAGCTGTTAGAACTCTCATTCTGACGGCACCCATTCACTGCAGAGGATCCATTGGTGAGCAAGTCATGTAATGCTACATTTCTCCAAAACTCATGTACATCTTGGATGGCCTGAGGGTCAGTAAATTACCAACAAATGTACATTTTTGGGTGAATTATTTCTTTAATATTAACCTTTTCAGTGGTGAGTTTAAAATATTCTAGCGTTCCCCCCAGAGTGAGTGTTTTTTAGGCGACTGTTATTTTAGAACGTTTCCCCTTACTGTTTCCATGGCAACGCGTCATGCTTGTCACGTGACACACCACACTGTATGACAGATGGATCGCTTTTATTTCGTTTTTCATTTTTTATTCAAAAACTTGCTTACCATTTCATGAATAAGCTGATATTTCGATTCACAAATGTGTAAATGAGTGCGTTTTGTCGTTTAAAAACATTTCTAAATGATCTTGATCGTGAACAGTAACGTGAGATGGGCGCAGCCATGTTTGTTCGCGCTGCAGAGAGTCCTGTCAGTCTACATTTCTCCAAAACTCATGTACATCTTGGATGGCCTGAGTGGTCAGTAAATTACCAACAAATGTACATTTTTGGGTGAATTATTTCTTTAATATTAACCTTTTCAGTGGTGAGTTTAAAATATTCTAGCGTTCCCCCCAGAGTGAGTGTTTTTTAGGCGACTGTTATTTTAGAACGTTTCCCTATGGAAAGCCGTTGTAACATTTAATCTATAAGCCGTACTAGTATCTATTTTCATGGTACTAGTACCTATTTTTTAGATACTAGTATCTTTTCCATTAAGTACTAGTACTCAGTAAATTACCAACAAATGTACATTTTTGGGTGAATTATTTCTTTAATATTAACCTTTTCAGTGGTGAGTTTAAAATATTCTAGCGTTCCCCCCAGAGTGAGTGTTTTTTAGGCGACTGTTATTTTAGAACGTTTCCCCTTACTGTTTCCATGGCAACGCGTCATGCTTGTCACGTGACACACCACACTGTATGACAGATGGATCGCTTTTATTTCGTTTTTCATTTTTTATTCAAAAACTTGCTTACCATTTCATGAATAAGCTGATATTTCGATTCACAAATGTGTAAATGAGTGCGTTTTGTCGTTTAAAAACATTTCTAAATGATCTTGATCGTGAACAGTAACGTGAGATGGGCGCAGCCATGTTTGTTCGCGCTGCAGAGAGTCCTGTCAGTCGGATTTACAGCATGTGAATTCATAAATTTCTCCCGAAATACATGCAAATAAGTGGCCGCTGAACTGTAAAAAAAAAAAAAAAAAACTTTGTGGTTAAAAACACTGCATAGTTGTAAAATGATCCGAACTTCCCATCACTAGTTTGAATTTGGCAGTTATGTGATGTCACCGAACGTTCTAAATCCCATATGTGGGACCGTACCGCTCAACAGGTTAACAAACACATTTTAGAGCCAATTTAACCAAACTGCCTCTCCTTAAACATAAAGAGGCTTTTTGTGAAAGCCTGATCAAAGTTTAGATAAAGGAGGAAGCAGCAGTGCTTTTTTAGGCCTGATAAACATACCAACATCCAGGCTTTCCCCACTGTTATAGTTCAAACTAAAAATAAGCAATTACTTATCAAGGGCAGCTCATGGTTTTCTTAACGATAGCACTTGTTTCAGCTTGGCTATCTTGTGAACACAGCTGTCTGTAAATAAATACAGCAATAAAATGTAGAAGTTCACACCACTGCACTGAACTGACCGGAGGAATGTGTGGGTGTGATAGGCTATATGTCTCACACGTCATGTTGAGAATAAAATTAAGTTGTTTATTATTAAATTTTTGTTTTAACTGAATTTATGAATAATGCTTCCATGATGTAAATCAAACAACCTCAAAATGTGTAGTACAGCATCAAGCTAATCTTCCTTCCTTACAATTGTAGAAGACACACAAAAGGAATGAATGGTGTGAGTTCACACTACATACATTACCACATTTAAAGGAAGTGCCTCACAGCGTATGACAGAAACGCCATTATCTGACCAGTATTTCAGTATGCATTACTTTTCTCCTGTTACCCAAGACCTTTTTTGTACCCCTTTGTACCTCAAGTACCCTTTTGTCAACAACAAAAAAAAAGCAATGCATTTCATTTAAAATTGAAAAAAAAAAAAAATGAAATATGAAGCGAAACTCACCATTTATGTACATAAAATTATTATATGTGGCAGTCCAGCATATTGGTAAATTATGTATGGTTGCATAAGACCATAAAGTGTGTGGAAAGCTGTTCTATTTCATTTTTGCAGATTTAGAGTTCAGTGTTCACAAGCGTTTTGATGCAATTCAACTAATTATTATTAGTTACTATGCTTTAAGACTTTGGACAGGACAGATAGTTTCAAAGTAGGGATGCGCCGATCCGATATTCATATCGGGTATCGGCTCCGATACTGCCATTTTTCTTGGATCGGGTATCGGTCAGAGAGGGCAGATCCAAATCCGATTATTTTTCATTTTTTTCTCGATTGTGTGAATTATTCTGTGTTACTTCTGAAGCCATACAATAGCTTAATGTGAGCTACATATGAATATTTAAGTCCTTACATTAAAGTTCACACAAACTCTTTTCTCCGCTGTGGCTGTCAGTCATTCGTTCAGCCTTTAAACCCTGGTCGCGTTCGGTTACAGCAGTCAGCTCGGTAAAGCTCTCTCCAAGATCATTCTGTGTTCCCATTATACTTGATTTGTAAATACATGTCTATGATTTTGCAAAAAGGACTTTATCTTCTTGCCGGAGTTTAATGTTGTTTTGTTACTTGCTACCGGGTGTCTGTGAGAACAAACATTTTTGGTTATAAATAAAATGCCTAGTCAGAGGAAACTGGTAGATTCACAAAAATAGTAATTTTTGTTGTGTGTGCCACTAGCAGCAGGATTTAACAGCATTAACTTGGCAAGTGGTTCCACTTCCAGAGTGACCCTGAAAGGCATTAAATGCATGTGTGAAAATCTACAATGTGTCAGGGTACTCCATCAATAACAGGTCCTTAACTTAAGTAAACATTAGGGATGCGCCGATCGGATATT